TGAGCTAAACCACTGAACTGGTAAGCAGAAGGTTGCTGGTTCGATCTCCGCAGTCGTCACCACCAGTGTGTCCTTCAGCAAGGCTCTTTACTCGAGGTTGCTCCAGGGGGATTGGGATCCCTGTAATAAGAGCACTGTAAGTCACTTCAGATAGAGGTGTCTGCCAAATGAATAAATGTAAATGTGATTTTTGTAAATCCTTTTTTGTGTCTTGGGCACAAACGCTCAATAAAGCTGCTTATTTCTCAAAGTTTTTTTCGTCATGGTACTACTATAATATAAATGCATACATATTTCAATCAATTTATTCATACAATTAAAGGGTTAGTTCACCCAAACATATAAATTCAGTCATTATTTACTCGCCTCCACACTGTTCAATCCTTGTTTTTGTTTTTTTCTGAACACAAAAGGTGATTTTGGTTAAGTTTGTCTTGCTGGTTTCTGCTCATACAATATCAGTTAATGGAGCCTCACTTTCAGAAGCTTCATGACATTATTTGATGATGCTTTTAAAGCTTTTGAAACTCGGGCTCCATTGACTGATGTTGTATGAACAGAAACCAGCAGAACCAACTTGACCAAAATCACATCCTTAATGTCTTTTAGTCTTTCTCTAGATGTTCTCGCTGACTCTGGGCTCACTGAGGATGAAGAGGCCACAGCAACATCTGGTCCAGATGAGGCAGTAAGGGCAGGTGGAGTGATGGAGCGACTCATCCATGACACTGGACCATTTCCAGGATGCTGCTGTGGACTCCTCCTTCCTCACTGCTCACACCAGTCTGCAGACATTTCAGATCCTGCAAAAATGCACAAATATAATACAAAATCAGTCATTTTAACAGCACGATGTCATTTGATTTCTGTATTAGAAGTAACAAAATAATCTTACTTTATTTTTTTGTTTCAGGTTTTCCCTTTTTTTTCCACAAATGCCGCCGTCACCTTTCCTTGCAGGTCCTGCTCCTCCACAAAAGCTCTGCAGCATATGCACAGAAATCAAGAATCAGAAAAGTGTTGTGATAACTCTGTTTGAAATTACAATAATTAAAATAAACTACAACTTAAGATTTAAAAGATGTTTTATTCATTTCTGTAGTATACTCACTCAAAGCCTTTGATGGCAGCATTCCTTCATCAGTCACTCTTCACTGGATAAACACACGTGTGTCTCATCTGTCCCTGTAACATCCAGATAAGAGTCAAGTTACCTCTGTGATTTATCTGCTCAATACTGCATTTACATGTTGTGTTAACTCGCTTTTTATCTAACACAAGTGCTCCACAATTTATCAACAATACTAATGGACAAATAAAATAGATAACTTATGTTTAGTTACTCTATGTAGATTTGTTTATTAACATTATTACATTCATCTAAAGCAGTGTTGACAACAGTGAATTCTACATAATAGCCTTTAAGATGTATATTGGATTATATAAATTCACTTTGGAGACGTGTGTGTGCTTACTGGAGCTCCCCTGTTCGCTATACATAATAAAATATGTTTTTACAGTTAATCATCAGTTTACTCTACAGTAGTTCAACAAAAGCGATTTTAACACAGGGAAGGGAACCGTGTTTTTGGTTTGTAATACTCACATTTGTAAATACCCTCGTCGCTGTTCTCCGCCCTGTTCGATGATGACGTATCCTCTCGCGTGGGCTTCTGGGATTGAAGAGTATCCATCGATGAACACTTCAGAATCTGGGCTGAAGCAGTAGGACATCAGGGGATTTCTTGCCTACTCTTTTATGAATACTGAGGTTTCGGACATACTACTTTCTTCACATACTCTTTTTTCCTACTATATGGTAGGTAAGTAGGCTTATTCGGACGCACTTTAAGTAGACGCACGTCCGAATCTCGCGAGAATTAATACGTCACCCAGGTAATTCTCACCTACTCTTTTATGAATACTAAGGATTCGGACATACTTATTCGCTCGCCTACTGCTTTTCCCCTACTATCTAGTAGAGAAGTAGGCGGTTTCGGACGCAGCCAATGTCAATGTATTTGGTATTGGCGGAATAGATCTGCTACGCTGCTGCTGCTGAATTGCTGCTGCTGTTGGTTATTGCTGTACTTGTAGATTATTGCTGCTGCTGCTGCTGCTGCTGCTGCTGCTGCTGCAAGCAAGTACAGGAACTTGCTATTGCCGACGCATATGGCGATACGGTGCTGTGAGTATTTAAGACATGCAAATAACCCATAACAGAACTGTACAGGTGGAGCTGGGGAAGGTGGAGGGTTTCAGAAGAACTCTGGAAGCGCGCTGCAAAATGTTCAAGTTGATGCTTACCAGCTATTTAAATGTAAAGCAGCAAGCTCATTGGCTGCGTATGCAATCATAAACCAATCAGCTTGTGCCAAGTCGTTTAACACTGTGAATATCATGAGTTACGTTAAGACCCATCAGCCTGCACCATCTAGAGTTTCATGAAAGAACTATGCATTTGCCTCCGCTGTCACTGCGGTGTGTGGTGTTGAACATGAAAAGTTACACAACAATCTCTGTTCATCTGTTCTCTTCATAAATAAATGTATAAGCCTAGATGCTCGTCCTGTAGGTTCATTATTAAAAATGAAAATATTAATTTTTACGACGCTGTCCGTCAAAATGACGGACAATGATAAAGTCTCATATATATATATATGATTTGCGTGACAGATATATATAATCACATGGATGATTAAATATTTTGATATAGACTTCACATTGTATTGAACTTTTTTTCCCCCCCGAAATTCCCAGGTAGGCTTCATTCTGACCATTCACCAGATTCTGGTGAGGGAGGCCTATCTTTATTTAGAAAGAAAGAAAGAAAGAAAGAAAGAACTTTATTTAGAAAGAAAGAAAGAAAGAAAGAAAGAAAGAAAGAAACCAATATTATTCAATATTTACAGAAAGCACAAGACAATTACGTACTAAAATTAAGTATGAGTTCCTTGTTAACAGTAAATAGATGTTTAATTAAACCTGATAAAATATTTAAATGTACTGCTGGATTGGCCTTTAAATCAGTTATTTAAAAGGATTTCCTGAAATGAAAATTCTGGTAACATTTACTTTTCATTCCAAAACTATGTCTTCTGTTGAACTTTATTCTACTTTCATTACAGACAAAAACAGAGACATGTTTCAAAATATCTTTCACGCACAGAACAGCATTAGAGGAAGTGATGACAAAAACACTGTCCTTACGTCCACTATCCCTTCAATATTTATTTAATACATACAGTCTTCATCTGATGAGTGGTCTGAAGCTGAAACCACTGGTGAATCGACTGAAACAATTAGAAATATTGGATGAGTAACAGAATTAAGAAATAAAGAGAACAATAAATTGACTAAAATGTTGAATTATTATAATTTTATTTTCTATTTGAGTATCTGCACGGAAATGCATACATACATACATACATACATACATAAATAAATAAATACTCACTATCTTGGAGCCTAGTGGTTTTGAAAATTTGGACATCAGCAACTATTGAAAAGACATTACAATGAATTATTTTATGCCATACTTTTTTTTTTTTTAAATTAGCCAGTAACCCCGAATGTTGTGGTGAAATCAGCAGCTAATGAGCACCTCAAATTGTTACATTTTACACAAGCTGACACAATACAGCCTACAGTACTTGTACTTTTTGGTTCACATATATGATATCATGGCACTCAGCATAGGCCTACTGTGCTATACACTAGAGATGGAACAATTGCTGGTTTGATGATAAACCACGATAAAAGTTCTGACAGTTAGTATTACCATTTTATCTTTTAATTATCATTAATACAGTATTTGATTATGGCAATTTGAAAAAGTTGCGGTAAATACAGCTCAGCATTAAGCAAAGTCAGTAAGACGTAGACGCAACATGCAGGTTTTGTTTTGTGAAAACATGAAGGAGGCAGAGTGCTGAGAGAGGGTATATGAAAGAATGTATCAATAAATGAATGCATAAGGGGGAACTGACTGTCTTCAGAAAAGTTTCAATGGCATTTTCTTTTCATCTTCCCTCCACGTATTGCCTAATAAAGCAGCATTTATAAGCATGGCACTGCTTTGTTTACAGCGGTTACTGGGGAAACAGCTGAATTTCTGCTGTTCCATAAACTCCACCTGCTGTCAGACAGTGGAGTTCAGCCTGTTCGCTTTCATTCAGCCTGTCAGCCTGTCTGCCGTTTGTGTTTAGACCAATGTGAAATTTGCACCAATTTTTTGTTGTAAATCTTAAGTGGTAGATGGAAAACAAACTAATGTGCATTCAAAAATACACTATAAACACTATAATCGTGATATGAAATATCATACCGTTTCATCTCTACTTCATACTTGTAAAAGTCTGAATGGTTCTTGACAGTTTTACTTCACCTTTCTTTGATATTTTGCCCATGTGCTCTTCACAGAGTTTGACCAGTTGGCTGTTCAGCTCTGAGACAGATTTGTCTACATTCTCAAATGTCAGGAGGTCATTGACATCTCTGGGTGAAGTTGTGCACAGATACACTCCAGATTGAGAAGAGTAATTCTGAAATTAAAAAGAAAAAACAATAACTCTTAAAAAAGACTTAAGAATAGAATCAATAAATTGTAAGCATTCCATTTAAAAAAGCCTTTCTGTAGATTATACTATTTATACCTGAAAGAAATGAATGTTATCCTCTGTATGTAAAAGTGGCCCCAGTTTATCATTCTCATTTTGCAGATTACTGAGCTCCTGCTCCAGTTTCTGTATGTGTTCATTAATCTGTACTATCTCCTTCTTCTCCTGAGCTCTGATCAGTTCTCTCACCTCACCTCGCCTTTTCTGAATGGAGCGGATGAGCTCATTGAAGATCCTGTCACTGTGCTCTACTACTGCCTGTGCAGAACGCTGTCAACATGCAGAAACACAGAACATACCTGGCAGTTAACTAATGTTTACATTCCATGTTTATTGTGTATAAAATTTCGCACAAACATTCATTCAGGATTGTGATACATGTGATCAGGGCCATAGCACCTACAGTATATTAAGTGTTGGAGTTCTCCAACAGGTCTCAGCTGTTGTGTCGCACCACAACAGCTGGAAGCTTTCTACACTGGATGCAACAAAGTGACCATTGCAAATTCATTTGTCCTTCATTTCAGAAGTGGCTCTCGCACATGGAGTACATCAGAAATCCAATGGGGCATCAGTTTACTATTGGGGATTTGTTGTGTCACATCGTGTCTCTCTGCATCCAGTGTAGACAAAATTATTCTCTGAAAAAAGTAACTACATTAAAAAAAGAAACAATTCATTATTCATTTCCTGTTAACTCATAATGGTTATTAATCATTTGTTTGAGTTCATTTAAGGAATTATTATTTTATATGTAAGTAGTTACGCCTACACATTTGCATGTAGGCGCATGAAATAAAAGAGAGAAGGGGCCTGTCCAAATACCCACACTGGCAGTCTTGGTCACTTGAGAGCGTAAGCACACAACAGGAAGTAAGTGTAACCAATCATGCATCATGTTCTGTGGTCTTCATGCCCACTTGAACACTTGGGCTAAGCACAGGAAATACGTCATGTAAGTAGACAAATGGTCAAGTGCAAATACCTCAGCTGCGTCCCAATTCAAAGGCTGCATTCTCGAAGGCTGCAATCTAAGGGCGATTGAATCACTGCAGCGCGATGAAGAGTGTCCCAATTCGAAGGCTCCTTCAAATGCGGCCTCGAAATGCACACTTCGTTTCTCTAGCAATGAAGGCTACAACAGATGGACCCTTCGCAGCCTACCCTACCCCACCCCAGAATTCAATGTCATTGCGCCAGAGTAACTGCCGAATTACACTTGTGTGTGTATATATACATGTTCACGAGTTTGCATTTACATACAGTCAAACCGAAAATTATTCAGACACCAGATATAATTTTTGATATTTTTTTACTAGTGGGTGCAGGATACTATAGTTTGTTTATGTAAGTGAGGATAGCAAAATAAAATAAACTATGACATATTATACCAAAAAATTATTCATACAGTGGACTACCAGTAAAACTGATACAAATTTGGGAAGCAAAATTATTCAGACACTTTGACCTGACCATGTGTTGCTTAAGTGTTTTTTCTTTAATTGCTAATGCGACCTTTTTACACCACATACTGAACAAAATTAAGCATTGCTTGGTAATTGGTTGACCTAGATTGGTATTATCTGATTGTGTACTTAAATTTAACACCTGACAGCTGACAGCTATTCAACTTAATTCATTACATACCTTTCTATCAAAGTTATCTGACATTATCGAGATGAATTTGTTCTGACACAGTTGAACTCTGTCTGACACAGTTGAACTGTCGCGCACAAACAGAACCAAAACACAAAATAAAAAAAGTACAGTAACCATGTTTTTTTTTTTGGCAAATGGATTACCGTTTGTATTTATTTTTACTACAAATTATATGGTTAAACTATGGTTAGTGTAGCAAAAACCATGGTTAATTTGTGGTTACCATGGTTTAACAATAGTAAACATTTTCTTTGGATTTATAGTAAAATCATCGTTAATTTTCGTAAGGGTTGTGTTGTTGTCTGCCCTATAGCTCCCCCTAAACCTATTATAACATATAATTATTTGTCTGTTAAATTACTACTGTAGCATTATAATAGATAATAATGATGTCCTTTATACAGTCCGCGCCTGATTTCCACAGACACGCAGAACGTGCAGGATTCATTGTCTTTTCGCGGCTTAACATTCACAGACACTTTTACGTAACGCCGTTACATGTAACTAGTTACTCCCCAACACTGCTTATTACTGCCTTTTGAAAGTAATTAAGTTACATTACAATATTACTGTCTCTGAATTGTAATGCATTACACTACTTTTGAGTTACTTTCACTTTCAAGTACAAACCGCAAGAAATAACAGAAATAACAGCGGTAATTAAAGCGGAATGTTATAGGCCATAATGAACAAGCAATAAACACAATAGCAAGCCTATAGGCTATTTTAGTTCTCCTCACTCCACAACAAATCCTTTAAATTTAACTGTATTCAGAACAAAACAAGAATGAAAAATATGTTGTTAAACAAGCCAAAACAAATTAATTTAAAGCAAAACTGCAAGCAAACGCCTTTGTTCTCACGCAGCCTAACGTTACCTGTATCATTCGGCACGAATCCAAATGTTTCCAAATTCGCAATGTATTTGAATGCTAAACTATTATTTAGTATGTAAACCATGCTTTTGTACTTGACAAGCTTTCCGCAAAAAAAAAAAAAATCACACTCTTCACATGAACAAATATGTGCTTGGCCCAAGCTCAGGCTGAACGACACGGATTGTACGGACGATCATACAGATCCTTCGAAACTGCAATGTGTTTACTTTTATTTTAGGATGCGCTTGTCATCTCGGTTTCCTTTCCGTGAACTTTTGCAGAGCGCTGCGCCACAAAAATGAATCAAACTCAGCAGCATATTTTACTCAAGTCTTTTTTCTTTCATTTTGTTAATCTGTTAATTATTTAAGTCAAATATATTTCGCGTATTAATTCATTTTAAATGTAGACTATGATTTAATAAAAACAGATTTTATTTTTAGTTAAACTTAATTTCTGTTGCTTGTCTGCGCTCGTCCGCCGCATTCTTTCTCTTCTCCGACCCCGCAGTAGCCTATGCCCATCTCACAAATGTAGAATCCGTCTCAGTCATCTCAACCATCGAATTAGAGCAACAGGAAATAGACAATGTATTTTACCAGTGGAATTTATTGTCTGGTGCCGTTTTGCGGTGTTGGTAAATTCACCACTTAATTTTGAGTTAAAATATGTTGTTGTAACATGCGTTACTGAGATAGTAACGAGTAATAATATTAACCAAATTTTATTAGTAATGCGTTATATTACTGCGTTACAGCAAAAAGTAATATACTACTGTAATACCGTTACTTTTGTAATGCGTTACTCCCAACACTGTGAGCAGCGAGCTCATTGGCTACCGATACAGGAGAGAACCAATCAACAGTGCCATGTGATAATGATGTCATTAGGTCAGATTGAGTTAGACCTATCGGACTGCGCCATCTAGAGTTTCATGCCATAACCCTGTATATATATACCCGTATCGTGCTAGTTAAGATGATTAACTAAACAAGCTCCACCAGTGCTGAATTGGTTGATTATGTGATTGTGCTCCTCCCGAACCTTGATAATAAAACATAATTTTTTGCTGTAAATGTGCAATTAATTAGTTAATTTTTTTAATTGATCGACAACATACATATATATATATATGTATATATAATGTATATGTCTTGTGCTTGATTTGTTAGTATTTGCTGCTATTTGGCCCCATTCAAAACCTTTAAAGCTGTCAATCACATTTACCTTATGAGAATCCACAGCCTTCCTAAATGCCTGGACCTTCTTGCCAATGTCTGTGATTTTCTGAGTGAAATCCCTCTTTTTTATTTTCAGTTCCTCCTGTGGGTGAATTTGTAATAAATAAGAATAATTTGCTTGAGTGACTTATGAAGTAATAGCAATATATGGTAACACTTTATTTTGATAGTCCAGTTAGACATTCTGCTAACTATAAGTAACTTTGCAACTACTGCTTAATATCTGGTAACACTTTATTTTGATGGTCCACCAACAGATACTATTGACTGTACACAACTTTGCAAACATGTCAACTTATTCTAACCCTAACCATAACATGGTCTATTATTAACAGTCTATTGAGAGTTAGTTGAAAGGAACTTACACACTTCTTGTGCTTAAAATGATTGAGCTATCTCTGCTCACAGGGAAAGAAATGTGGTCTGGTACTGTATTATTTCATGGAAATATCACAGCACTTAATGCATTTAGTTATTTTTTGATATTTTGTGTTTGTATTTTGACCTATATAAAAAAGACTTGAGGCTGTAAAGGTGCTTCAGCTAAATATTTAGTTTAGTAAGGGTATGAATACTTATGCAATGTACTTATTTCAGTTTTTTTATTTTTAATTAATTTACGAAGTTGTGACAATTCTGTTTTTGCTTTGTCAATATGGTGTATGGAGTGTAGATTGATGTGGGAAAAAAAGTACATTTAAGCAGTTTAACATAAGGCAGCAACATAACAAAACGTGAAAAAAATGAATACTTTCGCAAGGCACTGTATGTCATCGCTTAAATACATATCACAGCATCTTACCTGTTTTTTAGCCATTTCAGCTGCTGCTGAGACTGTGTTATGTCCACTGTGCTGATCCCCCATACAAACCACACAAATACATTTCTGGTCATTATAGCAGTAAATCTCCAGTGCTTTATGATGTTGAGAGCAGATCTGCTGCTGTAGATTTGAGGAAGCGTTTACCAGCTTGTGCTTTTTGAAAGCTTCAGACTCATAATGAGGCCGAATGTGAGTTTGACAGTAAGAAGCCAAACACACCAGACAAGACTTGATGGCTTTGAGTTTTCTTCCTTTACAAACATCACATTTCACATCTCTAGGCCCAGCTGGAACTTCCCGTTTCATTCCCTCTACAATTTCAGCCAACACCGTGCTTCTGCTGAGAGCTGGTCTATGGGGCAGTTTAAAGGATTTTGAGCATCAAAGTCAAGTTCTGCCATTTTGATGCTTTCAAATCCAGTGGAAGATTCGCTGTAGAATAACAGAGGCTTTGAAACTTGAAATTTGAATGGGAGTGGCTCCTGTGCAAACATGAAAAAATGAAAATGAAAGAAAAAATAATAATCAGTATTTCCTGCCTCTGAAAGTTCAAGATAATTTAATCTGCACCATATATATCTGCACCATTCTGAAAAGCACTGTACATATAAATTAAAAATTCAGAAACACATAGTCCTACATTTGCCCTACTGTAAATACACCCTGCTGCACAATTCTCAAAACACTCACACAAGAGCCTGACAAACAAGTTGAGATCACACTTTTTTATGTATGCACATTGTCTGCTGTGTTTGTCAGGTTCTCCCAGTAGTGGTAGGCCTATAAAAGTCTACTGGGCCCAGTATCCTGTATTGCGTTTTTAATTTTAGTTTTATTCACCAAGTAAGCTACAGTACAGTTAGACAGACTCACAACTTGTCTGGCATTCCACAGGTGGTGGTTTTATACCGTCCGGTATCAGTCACTCCATTGTCAACTGCATTACTGAATATAATAAAACAACGCAAATGAGCAAAAGAAATGGAACAGATTTTTGTGCCTGCATATATGCGATGTGTGCAAAGAAGGAAGTGCTCAACCTGAAAAAAAAAAAAAAAAAAAAACCTCCCCCTTCACGTCTCTAGTGCTAAACTACTGGGTGATGCGAGTTGCTGGTTTGTTTTGAAAATGTGTGCGTACCTCTATTACTGACAGCAGGATCTCAGGGGCTGATGAACCCAGGGCCATCAGAGTGAGGTTGGATACAGTTTCGTTCCAGATTCTAACTGTCATTACTGTCTTTTCTCCATTTGCACTTTTTAGTTTTTTTTCCAACCCAAAAAAAAAAAAAAAAAAAAAAAAAAAAAAAAAAGTAGGCTGCTCTTAAAGGGACACTACCCAATTCTACATGTTGCAACACAAACACCATATATTTAATATACATGTGTCCAAGAGGTGTAAACTGTGATCAATGAAAATGTTCTTCATATGTTCCTCACATTTAATAAATAAGGGCCAATGAGTTGTCATCTGAAAATAATAATAATAATATTAATAATTGTATAATTTTAAAAGTTGCATAAAATTTCAAAAGTTTTTGTGGCATATTGATTGATTGATTGATTGATTGATTGGCACAAATAACATTAAAAAGAACACCAGAAATTCAATACATGTTCATGTTAAACATTTAACTCGAATATTAATAGTTAAAGATAAAGCATGTGTAGTGTTAGGCTATATGAGATCCTGGATTATGAGATCTTAAAAGGATAGTTCACCCAAAAATGAAGATACTGTCATCATATACTTACCCTCAAATTGTTCTAAACCTCTATGAATTAATTTTTTCTCCTCAACATAAAAGAAGATATTGCTTTGTTATTGATATTGTTTTGAAGAATGACCGTAACCAGTTTCTGGTCCCCACTGACTCCAATAGTGTATTTTTTTCATATGGAAGTCATGGGGGCTCAGCAACTGTTTGGCTACCAGTATTGTTCCAAATATATTCTTCTGTGTTCAACAGCAGAAGGGATCTCATACAGGTTTAGAACAACAACAGAATTTTCATTTTTGGGTGAACTAAAAATGCGCCTCCTACTTCTCTGACGATTTCTTCTGTAACTAAAGTGCTCATTACTTCAATTACTTGATTCTGTATTTCGGGATTATTGTATGTTGCATTATGGGGAATACTTTTCACAACATTTCTCAGTTCAGGATCTTTTCTGAGGGTAAACTCAAAGAGGGATAAAAAATAGCCTGCTGCCACCATCCAAAAAGCTACTAAATGTGTCTTGGTCTCCTCTAAGTGGCAGCTGGTTTGCACAGAGAAATTGGATCATGTCAATTATGCTTGAGAGGTAATAGCGATTTCGCTGAAGTTGATCTGTGTTTACAAGTGTAGATATCTCCAAACCTTTCTGTGATCTGTGCTCTTTGTCCATCCACAGTGTCATGCATGCAATGTGCTCTTTTGACCTAGCATGCTTTCCCAGTCCTTTTTCTGTTTCTAAGGTGTGTTTCCAGTCTCAGAAACCACTCGTTGTGATAGCTGAATCGGAGGCGCTTCTACAATTTTGTAGGAATTTTCTACAGGCGAAGCAAAACCGGGCATCCGCTTTCACTGAATACTCCAACCAATTTCTCCCTTTAAACCAACTGCTGGAAAACGACCTCTTTTTTCCTGAAAATAATGACACTGGATACTTCTCTAAAATGACTTGACATGGCGAATCTGTGCCGAGATCATTTGGAACTCGCTTATCTTCATCAGTTTTGAACACTGGCTGGTTATGAACTTGCTCAAAAATTAATTTCGGATCATTTTTAACCAAAAAATGTTACGGACTGCAGCTTTAACTGAGATTAATAAATGGTTTAGAAGCATTTTTCTTTGTTAGTTCATGTTAACTAGTTGTTAACAAATCTGTAAAGTGTTACCTTTTTTGTGTTAAAATTCTCCTCCTTATCCTTAACAGGCATGATCAACTAAGGCAAGCCATATATTGGTCTTAAAAAGTGAAAATACAGTGGAAATTCATGAATATGGAAATGCTGTTGTTTGTTTCAAAGTGATAAAGCTCTTTTTTTTTAGCTTTATCCCCTGCTTCTACATTCCTGTAATACAGAAACACACAATTTGGCTGCATGTTGAAGCTCAACATTCAGTTTTATCTCAGGATAATAACATGCAAATTTTCAAAATGTACATAGTTGTATATTGCAGCAGCTTTCAAGTGAAATGTCCATTAAGTGGCACCAAATTAGATGAAATATTTTCTCCAATACAGAAACAATCAAACATACTTAAATACTATCCTGCGGATTTTTTCAAAGGACCACTAAAGAACCATGACCTGGTCATCATTTCAGTTGCAGCTGATGTCCACTGTGCTGACTCACCAAACAAGCCACACAAATACGTTTCTGGTCAGTATAGCAGTAAATCTCCAGTGCTTTATGATGTTGAGAGCAGATCTGCTGCTGTAGATTTGGGGAAGCGTTTACCAGCTTGTGCTTTTTGAAAGCTTCAGACTCATAATGAGGACGAATGTGAGTTTGACAGTAAGAAGCCATACAAAACAAAGAAGGCTAGATGGCTTTGAGTTTTGAATATTTAGAAATGAGAATGGAAGTGGCTCCAATGCAAACATGACAAAATGAAAATAAAAAATAATAAAATCATTATTTCCTTCTACTAAAAGTTTCTGAAGGTTAAAAAAAATAAAACACACAATTCTCAAAACACTCACACAAGAGCCTGACAAAAAGTTGAGATCACACTTTTTATGCATGTACATCAGTGTTAATTTTGACAGGCATTTTTTATTTAGTCTTAGTCTTTATCTTGAGACGAAAATGCTTAATAGTCTTATTAGTCACATTTTAGTCATTTGAGTCTTTCATAGTTTTAGTCGATGAAAAGTCATTGCATTTTTGTCAACTTTTAGTCATTACTTTTAGTCAAACTGCAGTTACCAACATTTATTTTGGTAGCTATTTTATGTTGTCTTCAAAAAAAAATTTTTTTTTTCATTAATTCTTCTCTCTTTAGACCAAATCAATTAAGCTTATGAGAAATTTGAATCAAGGATTGAATTTGAAAAAACTTGAATAAATGATGACAATTTAAATTTTTGGGTGAACTATCCCTTTAACAGTAGTGAAAAGGGAGCGTTTACTTAAAAAGTATACATTTATTTAACATCTTTTGTTGGTTAACATTAATGACACAGATAGGTATTTAATTAGGAATGCTTTCCCTTTAAGACGGAAGTTATGTATGTAATATTGACACACATTCAGTTTTCACCCACCTGTTTACGTTCACTTAAACCATAACTGACTGTATTTACGTGAGATACTCTAGTCTACACGATAGTCATTTGGACTGCTGTGTGTGTATTTGAGCACTGAGAACTAGCTGGTTCAAACATTTAACCCAGCCCGGGGTTGCCAAAATTACCCAAATTGGGTTGTTTTTAACCCAGCATTTTTTTTTACAGTGCAGAGGACAGATCGGACTGCTGAGAGAATTATTGGTGCTGCCCTGCCCACCCTTCAAGAACTGTATATATCTGACAGCAGAGTGAGGAAAAGGGCTTAGAAAATCTGGATTCCTCATCAAAGCCTTCTCCTTTTTAATGTAAACGATCCTGGCAATGAAGCTCTTTCTGATTCTGAATCTGATTCTGAAGTTGAAGATGACAAATCATCTGGAACAGTAAAAAAAATTAGATGAGTAATAGAAGTAAAAAAACAGAGTGAAGAATGAATGGACTAAAATGTGGAATTATGCTATATCTATTTAAGTATCTGCATGGTAAAATAATAATAATAAAAATACTCACTGTCTTGAAGCCTAGTGGGTTTGAAAATTTGGACATCAGCAACTATTAAAAAAGAAATTACACTGAATTATTTTATGGCCTAAATACATAAATAATAATTTTAAAAAAGTCCACTTAAGTGCTTTGAAACACGCCGCGTTAGTCTATAGGTGCATTCCATTTGACTGTAAGTGGACTGCGAAGTGGACTTCACAGGGTATTCTGTCATCATAAGTGAGATTCCAATCCGAAGGGAGCGAACATGTTCAGTTCGAACGGCGCTGTGAACGGCAAATAGCGAATAAGGGAACATCGATACATCACTTCACAGGAAGTGGAGAGGGAAAATCACCCAGCTGTCATTGCACACCGCATCAGAACTAAAGATGGAGCAGAACCGTTAAAAGAGTTTTTTTAAAGGCTCTGCAATGAAGGGGTTGCAGTAAATGTTATTATTTTACAAATTAGAGTATTTATGAATGGTTATGGCAATGAATGTTACATTTGCATATTGTATGAATAGGTGAAACTAAGTAAAACCGGCAAGAAATAGCTGGGGCTCTGTCATTTTTTATTTTACTTTATTTACCTCAGGAGAGTTAACTATGGGGCTGCGTGTGAGAAAGAAAGCACATTAGATAAGACCAATACAATCTGTTAACAGTCTAAACATATACATTTTGACTATATTTATTAGCAGTGGTGGACGAAGTACACAAATCAAGTACTTGAGTAAAAGTACAGATCCGTATAATAAAATATTACTCCAGTAAAAGTACTCAGTTTTCAATTTTACTCGAGTGAAAGTACAAAAGTACTTTTTTTATGTTTTTTTATTTAAAAAAATTATCTGATGGTTCATCTATAACCTGCATATGGTTAATAATGCATTTACATTTACATTTAATCATTTAGCAGACGCTTTTATCCAAAGCGACTTACAAAAGAGGACAACAGAAGCAATCAAAACTAAATAAACAGAACAAAAATGTGTTGTAAATGTATATGACTATTTGATTTGTTAGAATTTTCTGCTATTTGGCTTTTCCCTTTGCCCCATTCAAATCTTTAAAACTCTTTAAAAGTTGTCAATCATATTTACCTTATGACAATCTACAGCCTTCCTAAATGTCTGGACCTTCTTGCCGATGTGTGTGATTTTCTGAGTGAAATCCCTGTTTTGTATTTTCAGTTCCTTCTGTGGATGAATTTAAAATAAATTAGAATCATTTTCTTGAGTGACTTATGAAACAATAACAATAATTTGAAAAAAAAAAAAATCAGTTTTCTCTAAGAGGACTTATTTGTACAGGAAGCCCTTTTTCTTTCCTAGCAGACAATGATCTAATTATCCCGCTTGCCATCTGTTGTTAACAATGGTCTTAAATTTTATATATATATATATGGTAACACTTTATTTTGATGGTCCACCAACAGATAATCTACTTTGCATGTCAACTTCTAACCCTAACCATAACCTAACAATGTACTCATACTCTAATGAGAGTTAGTTGACATACAGTTGCAAATTAATGAGAGTTCTGTCATGACAACAGCTGCCGCACAAATAGCATATATAATAACCATAGCAGCTTTATACAGGTGGAGCTGGAGAAGGTGGAGGGTTTCAGAGGAACTCAGAAAGTGCGCTGAGAACTGCGCTAGTGAATGCTAACAAGCCATTTAAATGAGAAGCAGCAAGCTCTTTGGCTGCACATGCAACATGAACCAATCAGCTTGTGCCAAGTAGTTTAACGCTGTGGATATCATCAGCCTGTACCATCTACAGTTTCATGACAGAACTTGGCATTTCGTTGACATGTATAGTTGCAAAGTTATTTATAGTTCATAGAATGTCTAAAGTGGACTAAGAAAATAAAGTGAAACCTATAAACTGTTTCTTTCTTTTAATTTTACAATGTTATGATACTGATAATTTTTGTGTCCTGTACACTGTAAGTTAAATATATTTTACTTACACATTTCTTTCACATAAACTTATTGAGCTACACGTTGTCATAGAGAAGAAAAAATGTGGTCTGGTATTGTATTATTTCATGGAAATATCACAGCACTCAATGAATTTAATGAATAAAATTAGTTTTTTGTTTTGTTTTTTTTGTGTGAAATTTTGTGTTAATATTTTGGCCTATATTTGTTATATAATATAATCTCTTGTATGTCATCACTTAAGTACATATCACATCATCTTACCTGTTTTTTAGCCATTTCATCTGCAGCTGAGACTGTTTTATGTCCACTGTGCTGATCCCCCATACAAACTACACAAATACACTTCCAGTCATTATAGCAGTAAATCTCCAGTGCTTTATGATGTTGAGAGCAGATCTGCTGCTGTAGATTTGGGGAAGCGTTTACCAGCTTGTGCTTTTTGAAAGCTTCAGACTCATAATGAGGCCGAATGTGAGTTTGACAGTAAGAAGCCAAACACACCAGACAAGACTTGATAGCTTTGAGTTTTCTTATTTTACAAACATCACATTTCACATCTCTAGGCCCAGCTGGAACTTCCCGTTTCATTCCCTCTACAATTTCAGCCAGGACAGTGCTTCTGCTGGGAGCTGGTCTTTGGTTGAATGTTGTCCTGCACGTAGGGCAGCTGTAAGCTCGTCTCAAAGAAGCATCCTGATCCCAGCACCCCTTTATACAGTCCATACAGAAACTGTGCCCACAAGATGTAGTCACTGGGTTCTTAAGCAGATTCAGACAGAGTGGGCAATTTAAAGGATTTTGAGCATCAAAGTCAAGTTCTGCCATTTTGATGCTTTCAAATCCAGTGGAAGATTCGCTGTAGAATAACAGAGGTTTTGAAACTTTTGAAATCGGAATGGAAGTGGCTCTTATGCAAACATGACAACATAAAAGTGAAAGTAAAAATAGTGAACAGTATTTCCTGCTTCTGAAAGTTTTAGAAAATGTATATAACTACGGTATATATCTGCACCATCCTGAAAATTCAGAAACACATTTGCCCTACTGTAAATACACCTTGCTGCACAATTATCAAAACTCTCATACAAGAGCTTGACAAACCAGTTGAGATCACAGCATTATCTGCTGTGTTTGTCAGGTTCTCCCAGTAGTGGTAGGCCTATAAAAGTATTTTGTGTAGACCTACTACACAACCAATTACAACAATACAGCCATAACAACTGGTACCTGCTGATGTAGAGTCTGGAAAAAATACCTTTCATTTTATTTGTCAACTATACACACACACACTTTTTTTTTTTTTTACCTCTGGGCCCAGTACCCTGTTTTGCATTTTTAAATTGATTAGTTTTATTCACCAAGTTAGCTATAGTACAGTTAGACAGACTCACAACATGGCTGGCATTCCACAGGTTGTGGTTTTAATTTGCAATTCACGGTCAGGTATCAGTCACTCCACTGTCAACCGTGTTATTGAATATAATAAAATAATGAGCAACAGAAATGGAACAGATTTTTGTGCCTGCATGCAATGTGCGCAAAAAAGGAAAACCTCAAACTGAACAGGAAATAACAAGAGTGGGCTGCTCTTAAAGGGACAGTACTAAATAAGGGCCAATGTGTTTTAGTTGCGATAGTCTAAGGTGATTATCTCAGTGATGGCTTCTTGAACAAGAAGCAAGAAAAATGTACTGTGGGACTTAATTCAACTCTGACTTTGAGAGAAGTTGTATATCTACCATGCCATTCATACAAGTACACACACATTTTTTAAGACTTGAGACTCTTCAGACCAAACTATCAGTGAGCACAATGGTAGGACTACACGTGAGCAGAATGAAGGTACTGTGTCTCTAGACATTTTAAAAAACGAAAACAGCAAAAAGCAATGAAATGAGCAGAGACATTCATCTAGTGCAGTGTTTCTCAACCTTATGGGTGTTCTTATCTGACACCCATTTCAGGTCCTGGAGTTTCTTTTAATGAGCTAATGAGTTGAATCAGGTGTGTTTGATTAGGGAGACACACAAAATGTGGAGTGCTGGGGGGCGCCCAGGACCAGGGTTGAGAAACTGATCTAGTGCATGTTCATTGCTTATTCACATACGCAGCATGTAGCTGAATTTTCCCAAAGCTTATTTCTTTACTCATAGTCTGTTGATTTTGAGTTCTTTAGAGAAATGTATAATGAAAATGTTTGAATAAACGGTTACTGGTGAAGAACTTATTGGATCAAAATCTAGTTAATATTGAAACAATTTTCACTCAGAAACTGATGGTAAATTTTACAAATAACAATAAACCGGAAAGTAACACGTTGAAATAGGCCTCACAATTTTTAAATTCACTTTAACATGTTGTTTGAACATAAATGTGTGTTGACAGTGTGTGTACACAACCACCCTATAATGATAAAAATCCACCTAGTGCTTTTTTTTTTAATCTCGATAAATCCAAACCTTTTTCTCAAGCTGATCTCAGATTCTTGGCGCTGTGACGTCACACTGACAGGCCCCTCCCACGATTGTTGATTGACAGTGGCGTCAGTCTTTGTTTTTATCACAACTCCACCCTGAGTGAGCTGTCATCAGTCCGCCATTGTTTCACCGCCTTTTTTTTAT